CTGTGAGTGGATGAGTGGGGGGCGAGGCGGGGGAATAGAATTCCTCTGGGAAGCAGGTCCAGGGGTTTTATCCGATTTTCGGAAGGGGGAGAAGTTAGAAATCGTTGCTCCAGCTGCACAGATATCCTTAACACCAACTACTTCCCATCGCCCCCAAATCTCAGAGTTGGCTACTTGCTGGAGGTTAGGGGTTCTGGGGTGCACAGCCAGAGAGAAACCGCCTTCTCCAAACGTACCCTTCAGGGCCCACTCTCATCATGGGCTTGCAAAATGTCCAGCCCCCCTTACCATGGGTCCACCATGAAAGATAGAGACAGAGGTCACGACGGTCAGACCCACCCTCGACTACAGATGTCGGGACCTTGAAAACAGTTTTCTCCCATCACCCGCCAACCCTGCCTGCAGGGCACTATGGATTATGATTTTCTCAAAAAATGCATAATTCGAGTCATTACTCTGTGACTGCCACAATTATATTAGGTTCAGTTTTTTGTGCTAACATTAGTTAAATATAACTCAAGGATTTAAAAAAATCCGTGTGTAAGTGAACCAATGCAGTTCAAACCCGCCTTGTATTTTGGATGTGAGGTTGGGAATCCAAGTATTCAAAGGGCTGACACTTTATACCTGGATTTTCAACTGTGAGGTGGGGTAGGTTGGCACCCCTCACCCCAATCTCGCTGGTCAAGAGTTAATGATGAAGATTTTTTTCCAAGGGTCTTAGGGTTTGCAAAGTGAAAGCACAACTAGGCAATCCCCAGGGTGTTCCTAAGAAAAAAGAAATGCTGAGGGTTCTTATAATGAAAAGGACGTTTTTGAGAAGAATGGGTCCTGCATGCTTAGCCTCTGGGTTGGTCTGCGATGGCAACACTTAAATGTCAGGGGGTCTGGATACATGCACACTCTTTCCTTAGGTCTTTAGGGGGAACCGGAGGGTTATCTGGAGGTTTGATGTATAGCCAGGCATTGCTGCAGGACCGGAAAGTTCAAAAGTTTAAGTTCCCAGGCTTGTTAAAGTAAGGATGGTTTCCTTGTGCCTTAAGCTACTATATTTTTGCTAATTTAACAGCTTGACTATAGTGACTCCATTTTATTTCTTATCTCTTTCTTCACAGGCCAGGCCTTGCTTGGTTACATAACCAATGTTTTCTGTTTGAATTATTATTATTGTTTGAAAACTTTAATGTTGACATTATTGTAGACTGCCCCTCATCCTCCCCACCCCCTTTTGCCCACCTCCTCCTCCCCCCACCTCCCCCTCTTTTGGCCTTTGTCACATCATTTTCCATGTCCATGGGGTCTGCATATATGTTCTTTAGCTAATCCCTTCATTTATCCAGGCATCCCCACTTCCCTCCCCTCTGGCTCCCTCCAGTCTGTTCCATGTGTCCATGCTTCTGGTTCCATTTTTTTCGTCCGTTTATTTTGTTCATTAGATTCCACATATTAGTGAGATCATATGGTATTTGTCTTGCTTTGACTGGCTTATTTCGCTTCACATAATACTCTCAGGTCCCTCCATGCTGTCGCAAAAAGTAAGAGCCCCTTCTTTTTCTATAGCACGTAGTATTCCATTGCGTAAATGTTCCTTTTTTCATTAATATACCAGAAACCTCATTAAATGGAAGAGGCTTGGGCCTCTCTTGATCCCCAAGAAGCCCTGGTTTTAAATAGATGTCAGCAGCCAGTTAGCTGGGGTCACAAAAACCCTTTGTTCTCTGGACTAAGCATCCCAAGTTCTTTCAACAGTCTCTCATTTTTTTAATTGATTCTCTCTCTCTCTCTCTCTCTCTCTCTCTCTCTCTCTCTCTCTCTTTTTAGATGAGCCATGTGGGATTATTGGCATTCGAGAAAACTCATTTTATCAGAGCTGACTGCTCTGTTTCTTTGAGTTTTTGGTTTTTTTAAGATTCCACATATAAGTGAGATCAGAGTATTCATCTTTCTCAGTCTGACTTATTTCACTTAGCATAATGCCCTCAAGATCCATCCATGTTGTTGAAAATGGCAAGATTTTCTTCTTTTTGTGGCTGAATAATATTTCATTGGAGAGAGCCTGGAAGGGCAGTTGTAGGAAACAACGTAATAGATCTTATTTGGGGGGTTGGGAGGAGTTCATAAACCCAGAGTGAAAAAGACTAGAAAGATACAAACTAAAATTGTACAGTAGCCAGTACATATCCGCCTGCATTTCTAGAGCGTTGTGAAGGTTGAATGCGAGACTGTTCAGCCAAGTGCGTCCCTGTACTGGCTACTGTAAACAGCGCTGCAATGAACACGGGGTGCATGTGTCTTTTGGAGTTAGTGTTATCTCCTTTGAGTAAACATCCAGAAGTGGAATCGCCAGATCATATGGTGGTTCTGTATTTTATTTTTATTTCTTGGGACACAAAGTATCTCGCCCGAGGTTACACAGGCTACAACCCGCCTCCCTCCGGGATTTGCCATTTGACTCTCTGGGTTCTGCAGAGGACACGGCAGAAGCCATGCAGCAGGACAGCGGGGCCCGCGTGGGAGCCTCTGGGGGTCCCCACGCTTCTCAGAGGTTCTCTGCAGTGGGTCCCGGTCTCCGTTGAGCAGAGAGGGCGTGAACCAGTGACAGCGGCATCATCACCCTTGGTGGGGCTGCTCTGGACCCACTGGCTGGTAGGTTTGGGGGGTGCAGAATACAACACAATTGCTTTCGAGCCGAGCGGTCCAGGCAGAAAACATGTCGATTTAACAATTTATATTCATGTACGGATTACAGAGCAAGATCTGGCGATAAAGGACATAAAGGGGCCTGGGGACCTCGCTGTCCTCTCATTGTGTGTCAAGGGGCACAGCAGGGCCTTCCTGAAGCCACCCCGTGCACGGCACAGCTCTCCCAGACAGATGTCTGCGCTGGCAGGTCACGCGGGGGCTGGAGGCATTTCATTTCTCTGTTTGTTTGCAGCTGATGGTTATCATTCTTGGTTAGAGGTAGCATGAATGTTTCTTACTTTTTGGAACAAAGGTAGCAATTCCAAACCAGAAACACTTCGGTTTTGGTTTTTAGTTGTTGTTTTGGTTTTGTTTTCTTATTGCAAAAAAAAAACGATAGCCACTCATTGTAGAAAATGTAGAAAATACAGATAAGCCAAGAGAAGAAAATGAAAAGCTTCCCCAACTCCAGGTCTAAAAATAACCATGGCTAGTGATTTGGTTTGCACCCTTGTACATTTGATACAATTTTAGTTTGTATCTTTCTAGTCTTTTTCACTCTGGGTTTATGAACTCTCTCCAACCCCCAAAATAAGGTCTATTACGTTGTTTCCTACAACCACCCTTGCAGGCTCTCTCTAATGAGACTACATCATTTTCACACAAGAGGTTAAGCCAGTCCCAGCCAGCCACCCAGCACCCGGCTTTCACTCATGGAAGGGCAGGGGCCTCTGGTCAGAAGGAAGAGGCATCCACAGGTGGCAGCCTTTCTGCCTGGGAAGTGCCTTTACACAGCACCCCCTGCTCACCCTGGCTGGCCTCCCCAAGTGCCCTGGTCTGCATCCCTCAGACTCCATAACCCTAAATCCCTTCCCTCCACAGGCCTGGATGATAAATCGCAAAAATGAGCTAACAATGGTGTTCATACAAAAATCATAAATCCGAATCAGGTTTATAAAGGCGCTGCGTTAAGAGGTACTTAGTATCAAGTTCAGCTGGCAGACTCAGTCCTGGAACACACATGGAATATTTGAACTCCTACATCCTGTATCAGCCCCTTAAGTTAGCCCAACACCAGACAGCGTTTTAAAGCACTTGGATGAACAGTCTCACATTCAGCCTTCACAACACTCTAGAAATGCAGGTTGATATTATAATTTCTATGTTACTGATGAAAAACATTGAGGCTCAGAGAGTTTCAGTGACTTGCCTAAGGTCAGAAGACTAGTCAGTTACACAATCGTAAGTTTTCATACGTGGGAGAGAATCAAAAGACTTATCTAACCAGGTAACACCAATAGGACTAGAATTGTGTTGACTCTGATCGCCTGGGGCAGTGTGTTAACAAGTATGGGGTAAGAGTAATGGCTAATATTTCTTTTTATCCTCAACAGTTTTATTGAGACATAATTGACATACATACAACAATTCACCCATATTTAAAGTGTACAATTTGATGTTTGACATATGTACACACTCATAAAACCATCACCACAACCAAGATAGTAAACATATCCATCACCCACAAAAGTTTCCTCCTGCCCCTTCGTAACCCTTCCCTCCAGCCTCCCCCTGCCTCTCAGTCAGTCACGATGTGCCTTCTGTCACTATGAGTTAGTTTGCACTTTCAAGAGTTGTATGGAAATGGAATCATGCCCTATGTACTCTTTTGGTCTAGCTTTTTTTTCCACTCCACTTATTTGAGATTCATCCAGGTTGTTAACAGGTTTTTTCTTTTCATTGGTGAGTAGTATTCCATTGTGTGGATATACCACAATTTATCTATTTTCTTATTGATGGGCACTTGGTTTGTATCTAGTTTTTGGCTTAAGAGTTTACTATTTCTTGTACTTACTTTAGGCCAACACACCTCTAAGTGCTTTATATATGAAATCATTTAGTCACTCGGCCAATGCTATGACATTAGGTAGTTACTCTTCTGCTTCTTTTTTAATGAGCTAATTGAAGCACTGCATGGTTGAGTAAACTACCCAAGGTCATGCAGCTGTTAAATGGCAGAGCCAGGATTCAAACCCAGGCAGTGTGATTTCAGAGTCCACATTCTCACCTGTCCTGCTAAAATGCTATGTTTAGCAATGCCTATCATGAACGGGGCTGGGAAGATGGCAATTGTACCATGTGTTTGCAGTACTCAAGCTCTTTTTCTTTTCTTTTTTTCAATCCTCACCTGAGGATATTTTTCCATAGCTTGTTTGTTTTTGTTTTTGTTTTAGGTAGAGTGGAAGGGAAGGAGAGAGGAAAGGAGGGAAGAGAAAGAGAAACATTGATGAGAGACACATTGATTGATTGCCTTCCACAACATGCCCCAACTGTGCTGGGAAGGAACTTGCAACCCAGGTACATGCCCTTGACCAGGAATTGAACCTGCAACCCTTTGGTGCAAGGGCTGATGCTCTAACCACTGACCCACACCGGGGCTGCAGTACCCAAGCTCTTAATAACTGTCACCATTTGACATCTAAACTGTCCTACCACAAAGATAATTAACAAAATAAACTGATGAACGGAGTGGATCCAGAGACATGGAAGCATGGAATAGAGTGCAGAACCTCAGAGGAAAGGCAGGAGAGAGTGGGTGGGAGGTAATCAACCAAAGACCTTGTATGCATGAACACAGACAATGGGGTGTTGAAGGCCTGGGGTGGGAGGGTGGTGTGGGGGCAGGCTGAAGGGGGTCAATGGGAAAAAGGGGGATATATGTGATACTTTCAACCACAAAGAATTATAAAAAAAATAAACACATAGACTGTCCTACCATATGTTTAAGTCCCCTTATAACATCCATTTCAGCTACTCATAGAATAGAGAACATTTCTAGGTATGAATTTATGCAGCACTAGAACTTTCCATCCCAACAACAAGGTTGGCCTTACTTCTTTAAAAAAATCTATTTTTTACTTTTGAAAATGAATCAGTGTAAGTTAGGAACACATGGTTGTCACTAAGTAGTATCTTTGTATTTGAAAGTTTTAAGAGAAATCACTGCACAGTACAACTGGGGATGACTCAGCCGCCCCTTTTCTGAGTGCACAGGGCTTTTGAGGAATGCTTTTCAGAAAAGTTGCTCTGTTTGATTTTGGTTCTTTCTGGCTCCCCTTCCTCTTTCCCAGCTGTGAGGATGCGGTGTGAATTGCAGCCACGCCTCACCGCTCTGAAACAGAGCAGGGCTTTCTCTGCCACTTGTAACCCTATTGTGTAACGGTTTATAGAAAGACTTTGTTCCTTTAACAGAAATGAGAGCCACAGCTCCATGGCTGGGGATAAAG